AGCGGGGAATAGCCTACCTCAAGAGTGCGGCTGAGTGCCCTGACGAGGCAAAAACATTTCAAATGTGATTGAGATGGATGCTGCGCGCTCGGCTTTTAGCCGGCCGGGGCCAGGAATTTGGAAAGTGAAATGCAATATGCAATCAATCCGCCGCTCTTTAGAGGCATCGATTTCTCCAAGATCACTTGAAAGGCTTTGAGGCTTTTTTTTGGGGGGGGACATACTGTATAAATGCCATAAATGTGCCTTTGCTTTGCGTGTAATTAAGTCCGCCTTTTCAAAATGTTTGTCAACAACAGGCGCCAGGCTGCTTCTGGGCGGCAGAGCGAGACAAAAACAGAAAAGAAGTCGGCGACGTTTTTCGAGGAAGGAGCAATCGTTGACGAGTTTTTTGGGGGGGTTTTGTTTTTTTGCTTTGACATGCAATGAAGAGGCTCTCATGGTCGAATATGTGAACGACGCTGCTATTTCTTCAGAAAAGGCAAGGCTGTGGTGGCGACTTAGGCCGCTCGTCAGGGCCCCCCCCCCCCGCGCTGCGTCTCCATCCGTCTGCGTTCGCAACTATTCCCCAAGAAGAGTCTTGTGATGCACTGCAACGTATCGATTTGCCTCCCATTTCACCGTCGCTGTCTTTTTGCCCACTGGAAAGCAGACACCAATCCCTGACAAAGATCCTCTTTGTCCCGCTCGATAGCCCGATTCCCCCCCCCCCTTGTCCCCCCCAACTCTTTCTTCACATTTTACTGCCTTTTGAACAGACGTTTTCTTTCCAAAGAATCGCCGGCGCTCGTTTGGTGGCTCTCTGCTTTCCGAACGAGCCTTTCACAGACGGTAACTCAATCCGGTTTGTGTCCAGTCCACCCCCGGTTATGTCCTTTTATTCGGTTAGTTCCGTTATCACCTCCCATCTCTGCATCCATCTGATCTTCACATGCCAAAGTGGAACACGCACACACACACACACACACAAAAAAAATAAGGGCCCTGAGATCATTCTAGATAGTCTGGTCATGGATGGGGGTGGGGGGTGGGGCTTACCTCCCCCTTGCACAGTTCAGCAGGTCTTGTCAGTGCATCAACTTTATTTATTAGATGAAAAAGAAAGAAGTACAACAGTTGAACCCCCCCCCCCCCACACCCAAGTACATCTGTATTTACAAGTAGGAATTTGTGTGTGAAATTACCGGAATACCACATTGGCCTCCAACCCAACCATTATATTGTCCATTAAGGTTCTGTGTGTGTGTGTGTGTGTGTGTGTGTGTGTGTGTGTGTGTGTGTGTGTGTGTGTATGTGTGTATGTGTGTGTGTGTGTGTGTTTGCCGGCGAGTGAGTCAGTACTGTAGGCGCTTATGTGAGTGAGTGATTGACTGACTCACCAAGTGTGTTTGTGTGTGTGTGTGTGTGTGTGTGTGTGTGTGTGTGTGTGTGTGCACAAGTGACCGTATGAGAATAAAAGGGTGTGTGTGTTAGGTCAAAATGTGCCTCACAAGTGACGTTTAGTCCCCAAATAACTTGAAAACCGGTTTTGGTCTCTGAATGTGTGTGTGTGTGTGTGTGTGTGTGTGTGTCAGCCACACCTGAATCATTCCTCTCCCTATTTGAAGCAGATGTTGCTCCTCTGTCAACATCGACTTAAAAGCTTAGCGCTTATTTTTCTTGTAAAAATGGAAGCGCGTAACCGCCACCGCAGCGTCGCAACCTGTGCCGATCAAACAAAAAAAAAAAATGACACAATCAGGAATGATCCCGTTGCTTGCCTCACTCCTCGATGCCGCAGTTCCTTCCGCGCATGCCCCCCCCCCACCCGCTCTCATTTTTCTTGCGCGCGATCTGCAACAAAATGCAATCGGCACTCGTGGAGGTCAACCGGAGAAACTGGAGAGCGCAGCGGAGTAACTCCATCGCTTTTATCGAGCGCAGCGTGTTTTTCAGCATCTGTCCCTTCTCGCTTTGCTGTCTTTCTCCATCTCTGCAGTGGCGACTTTTTTTTGGGGGGGGGGGGGGGACCTCGCCTTCCAAAACGACCCTCGGTAGGTTCATTGAGCACTCTAAAATTGCAACGCAAAAAAAAAAAAAACAATTTTTTTGATGTTCCCTTTTTGCACTGAAGCTCAACCGTGACAAAATGTTGACCTTGACAGACACGAGCCAGCCAAGCGCCACTCGCCACGTTGGCCGAACGAAGGCACGAGCCAGAGTGCAAATGTCGCGGGCCGCCCGCCCCCGTGTCCCGCATCACCCCCCAGAAATGTCGTTTGTCCGCAAGCGGGGCGATTCAAACGACAATGCCGATAGTGTGCATCACGGGTGACTTTATGGCAGCCGGAGGGCCGGAGTCAGAGGTGGCGCAAAGTCTGCCGAGGCGCACAATCGAGCCCTGTGCCGTACAAAGACGGGCGGGCTGATGGCCCCCCCGCCCCACTGGGGATTCCTCCCGCTTATTGATGTGCTAATGTGTTGGACTCTCCCAATCCGAATGTCGCTGGCATTTTACTTTTGGCATTTCACTCTTTTGACGCCAGTCAAATCCTGATGGAGGGCTGTCGAAGCGAAGGGAAGG